TTTTTTTTTTTTTGTTTTTTTTTTCTTTTTTTTTTTTAAACATTCATCTCAATGAGCAGCATCCGCAGTTGGAAGGAAAATCCTTCTCCCTCTTCCCCTAATATAGAGGAATGCGCATCACAAAAACACAGGGAATTGCATCTTGACTTGAAGCACACAATAACTATTACTACGCAAGAGAAGACACTTGAATACCACGGTGACTGAGTTCCTTCCCATGGTTGATCATCCTACCTGCGTAGTGTGCATTGCGCAGGGACAAAAGTGCGTTTGGATGGTTTTGTCAGCACATGCTGGAGGTGTCTACGTTCTTCATAAATGCAAAAGACACTTCGCACTTTATGGACGTCATCCCAAAGAGGCTGACAAAACTTCCATATCAACACTATACCATTATGAGTTTTGTATAAGTGGTGTGTTTTACACGATAAATTGTCTTAAATGTTTTTCCTTAATGCAATTTTTTAAATCCACTTAGCTCTGTGGACAAGTACTTCAGCGAACAATAAACTTCTTTGTTTAGAGCTTACAAGGAGCTATAAACTACTTCCATAAATGAACTAAAATAGCTTTCTACAGAAGAATCTTGCTGTTGGAAAGTCCAAAATTATGCATCCCTTCTAAAGGTGGAAAGAAGTGCTGTGGATCCTACCAGGAAGCCACAAAAAGTCCTTTCAAAAATCTCCTGTTTTTCCAATGTATTAGACCTAGCAGATCAGTCATAAGGCAGCATCAATTCTTCACAAATGTTAATTTCTGTGACATTATGTAGGGTTTTGGCAAGTATAAGGTAACAAGTATAAAAAGATAGACGTTGAAGGTTACCCAGAAACTTAGAATCTCTCAAGGAGGAGAGATCAGCAGTCAGGGCTTAAAAAGTTACACATCAGCAGCTATTTGGATTTTAAATTATTACTAGAGATCTTCCCCATCCCAGTAGTACAAGCCAATTGCCTACAGGCACTTGGAAATGCAGTCCTCCCCTCTTTTTGCCTAGCATGGTATTCTCTTACCTGAATTCGGCGAGATGTGTAAACTGCTCATGTCCTTGGAGAGGCCATTTGTTTTGGGACTGGAAATGGGTGCACAAGCTGACGTAGCTCGGGGTGGCCTCTTCCCGGGGACTTTCACAGTGGTTCTCAGCAAGTCAATTTCTTTCCCATGAACGTTCTGCATATAGTCCTGGTAAGAGGAAAAAAATCCAAAACCCAATATCAAACAGGTAGTTCTGTAAGCAGTAGAACTATAGTGAAACCTGCTTTCATAAGACTTTTGTCCTACGTCATCTGCCAGCACCCACCACGCTGTTTTCTCCTCCCTTCCCTTTTCTTGATAATCTCTTCCACACTTTCCACTACAAATACTCCCAAAAGTCTTGAGCTCTCTACTGCATCCTCCAATTACCAGTTGGGTAAGCGGCAACTCACAACATGTCCGGTTCTGAGCCACACATAGGAATTCACCAGCTACAAGGTCCCAAACAGAAGGAGAAGACAAGGCTGGCTGTCCCTCATGAGAATGCTTACTTGTGTCTCCTCTCTGCCAATGTTTTATGCATCTCCTTCTCCTGCAAACTTGGCCGAAATTGGTTGGCAGCCACAAAAGTTATAAAAGGGCACTCACTGACTGGTAAGCTTTCTGCAATTACAACATTGTTTCCTTAAAATAAGATCCTTCCTCCACACACGCACACAAAAATCATAGAAGGGAAAAAATTACACAAATTCTGTCTGATTAGAGTAAACACACTAAAAGCTGGAAGCCAGAAGTGGAAAAGGCTTTTCCTAATTCTTCTTTGAAAAGCCCACAAAGAGGAAATAAGCAGACAAACCCAGTCAGCCGCGGAAAGACAGTGGTCAACTGACTGGAGCCAAGCCACCACTTCCTGAGAAATCCATGAGAAAGTTCTTCAAACTGTAAATAGCTTCTGGAAAAACAAGCTCTTGAGATTCTGCTTTCCAGCTTCAAAGGCATTCCCTAAATTATCTGTGGGCTGCTTCAGATGAAAACAGAATAGCAAATGGACATGGGTGTCTCTATCAAAGGGCAAATGACAATTCCTTAAGGTGAGACAGCCACTGAGGCTGCAATCCTGGTATACATCAGAAGAGGTGTTTCCAGTAGAGATAGTTACTGTTAAAGCCAGTACACAAGACACCAAAGTTTTCATGTGCTGGTAGACATGGTTGTGGTTACTCGCATTCCAGAAAAAATAACTGAAACTGGAAAAACTATGAGGACATTAAAAGAAAGAAAGAGACTGTATCTTATGAGAAGACATACAAGATGGGTAGCACAGGATAGCAAAATCAAGGATGAAAAGGGGTAAGAGCGTTGCACAAAAATTCATCTGGGTATATGTACCCCAAGAGGAAAACGGCAATTTGAACTAGAGACTGGAAAAAGGTATGGGCATAAGCTCTTGAGTTAAGCTGGAAAGCAAGGGAACGGTATTATTGAGCAATCTTCTATGCAGAACAGCCGGGGCAAAAAATCTAATTCCTTTTCAGACAGAACTTGATCAACTTACAGAGGCCTGGGTGATGCTGTGGGCGTCTGTCTGCACAAGCAAAGACTTGCAAGCAAAGACATAACTTCCAGTTGTCCAAGTGTCCAGGGCAAGATTTAGCCAGATTGAAAGGTGTTATATGGAAGACTACCAATATTAATTAGGTCAGTTCCAAACCTGCAGTACACCACCAAAGCATCAATTTTACAAGTAAATAACCGAACGGACTAAAAGCATACCCAAGCTCTACACCACTGCTGCCACAATACAGGGAGCAATCAGCTCCCTCATAAAAATCCTTTCACCTTTGACCATTTTTACAATACAAATTATATATTCCACTCAAAACACATCAAAAGTATACTACCGGACCAGCATTCATTTCTTCACAGCTAACATTAATCTGTGATAAAACCCCAAAACTAAGCCATTACACCAGCTTTTCTTTTCCCAGCTGTTTGAGAATTATTAACAGAAAAAGGGGGGGTCTGAACAATTCATGGGGAGAGGACACAGAGCTCTGCTGCCAAAAGAAACAAAGGCAATCCATTAATAAAAATGCATTCACTAAATGTTAGATAGAAATGAACAAAATGGTTTCATCCATAAATTATCAAGTTGGCGTAACTTTCTTGTTCAGTATCAGTTCTTCACAAATTAAAATACAATAAGCAGAACATAATTGAGCATTTATTGCTTATGGGCTCTAAAATGAGGCTTAATCAGATAGTGACTAAACCTCAGCATGTACTCTTTTTAATAGACACATTTTATTTAACGTACAACCACCAGTGTATGCCATTTAAATTTGAGAAGGAAGTGTTTATTCCAAATTCTTCAGATGAATAGTGTGTAAGATTTCTCTACTACCCTGCCAACTTGTGAGATGTGACAGGGCATTATTAAAGCCCTTTTAATTGAGAGTAAACCAGACTTGGGTGAGCTATAAACCATTCGAGAGAGTAAGTGAATGTTGGCAAACAGGAAATAAATACGCTGTAGCCATACCGTTATTAAATGAAAGTGCCCAAACACAACAGATGCCACATAGGTATTAATGTCAGCTTAAATATTTATAGGGATATATCAAATGTAAATAATAAAGACTCTTTCATTGTGTGCAAGATGCATAGCGATAATCTCTGCATTTCCCCGAGGAGGAGAAGCAAGCACCAAGTTTCCAGTTGGCAGAGCATCCGCCCCCACGCGCGCTCTTTTAGATCTGCACTCGGGGAATAAAAGTTGAAACTACAAACTAATGTCGTGGCTTCAGAAGTGCAATGGAGGGTTTGATCAGATTAGAACAGATGAGGGTCTTGCTGTCATCTGGAATATGCTGTGTTAAAGAGAAGACAGCAAGCCTGATTTTGATATGCAAATGTTACAGATATAACTCCCCTAGATGTTAGTTGTAGAAAATGCTGATCCGAGAAAAAAGGGGAAAAAACCCTTTAACAAGGCATGAGGGTAATTCAAAGCCAAGTACTTTTAAACAGCACTTAACAAGTCCCTAGAGCCCACTCAACAGCGGGCCACCCCAGAAGTGCCATCTTCTGCCCCTCAACAGCTTGAAAAAGTAGTAATTGCAAATCCATTTGCATTTTTCTTCTCAACTTGTCCATGTTCATCATTCAGCAACGCAGGGAAGAAAAAAAAAGAAAGCAAGCAGCAAAGGAAAGAGAACCCTCCCCAAATGTGTGGATAACAGGAGAAGCCAGCGCCCTAGTCCCCCGCACCCCTGCGCTTGCACCTTTGCCATCACTTGTTTTTTACATTTCGCTCCTAATTATGTTGCATCTATTGCCATACACTTAATTAGCTGCATTAATGTGATTTCTTTTCACATAGTCAAGCAATTAAGAGCTATGATTGAGTTTCATTCAATTAGCCTCAACAAACATGCTAATTGATGTCCCAGATGCAAATGAGGTGCAATGAGAGAAACCTGCTAGCAATTGAGAGTTGTGGCGGGGAGACCCACAGCTCTCAGCTTGCTGACAGCAGCACAGCTTAACATGGCTCCCACCTTCTGCGGAGCTGCCTTCGGAGGCGGGGTTGGGGGGAGACAAGCCATTAGTGCCTCAGTTGTCCCAAATAGATCCCTACAGGAATAGTGGGCAGTGCTGAATCAAAACAACATCGTCTCCAATTCTCATGGCAATGGCTGGTATGAGCTGGAGAAGAGCATAGCGTTTTCCTGCAGTCGGGTAGGCATTACAGACACCGCGAACACCACAGTTTCTTCAGCTAAGGACTATAAAAGGTCTCCATCTAATCTCTAAGCTCATGAAATACTATGCAGGTAATGGCCTGCAGTTATCAGTAACTGGCAACTTAATCTTAGTCAGCTGTGGGGCAATGCTGCCTCTTCAAGTTAAGACCAGAACACATCAATCAATCAATAATCCCTAAAAATACACTCACTATATTGATTCTCATTGCTTTTCATCCTGAGGTTACCGTTAGCAGTTTGCTATAGTGCTGCCGAGGTGTTAATTTGACTACTCAAGGCCATTGACCATTATCTAGAGGACTAAATAAACTGTTAAAATATTAGCGAAAATCGTAAAAGCTACATTGACTGAAGATGACACAAAATATTTGACAGCACCACAAAATGAATTGCCTTGAGTAAGAAAGAAACGACGTGCCATGACACAGAATAAAGTAAAATTACTTTAGTTCTGCTCTTAATACAGCTCTCCATTTACAACAGCAGAAATTAATTTAACCAATTAACTGAACAGAAGCCTTTCAGACATGCAAATTGAGGAAATGGGTATGATGTTGTTTTCTAAACAGACCTACCAAAAAGAAACACTGCTATTTTGGAGGGCCCCTTTTGTTTTCAGATGCCAGTGGTTGTTAAACTTGCTGCCATACATCACAATGGCTTCTGATTGCCCTCAAAGCCAGAGAAGACACTCCCACCAAGGGCCACAAGCTGAACCCAGACTTACGTGATGCTTCCAGCTAGCTGCCTACTCTTCAGTCTTTTTGGCTGGGAGAAAGAACAGGCAAACATCTCTTCTTCCACAGCCACGCTTAGTGCTGCTGCTGCTGCCTGCTTGGCCCGTTTTTCAGGGGAGGAAGGACATATGGATGATATTGAGGGAAAGGCAGAAGAAAGTGCTGGTTGCTGCTTCCATGAAGCTGCGACTCAAACTCACACGATCCCAGTCTACCACAGATACCTCAAATACTTCACTGAAGGACCACAGAGCATGTGGCAGTATGGTTCCTCCCTAGAACGATCCTTAAGTTAAAGACGTGGCTCACATATGTAACACTGTGGATATCAAAAACATTACAGAGTTTGAGGATTTTCAAATGTCTCTAACACAGGAGACAGTCAGCCGTGTCACACACACACAAAAAAATGCCTTTCTACTACCTAGGTTGTATTTCAAAAACACAGTATTTCATTATCAGTGTATTAAGCAAGAAAATGTGTATGAATGCTGAGTTACTGAATATAGTATTTATCAGTTAGTACCATGAGAGCTAAATTCCCTATACTTTTCTGTAGAGCTGCCTGCATGCAAATCTCTCTGTCCTTAAGGTAGGTATTTTCCTCTTGATTTGCACAATTGCAAAATATTTTCCAAGCTAACAGAAAACAAGCCTTGAAGAATGAGAGCTGAACCATTTTACTCAGCCAGGTTTCCGCTGC